TTCTCTGCCAGAAAAATACACCCCTGCCCAATTTTCTTACAAATTTAATATACATGCACATTAATCTATTTAAAATATGATAAAATACAATAATAAAAAAAATGTCCATTTGTACATATGTAACACTATACATGTATTTTGGTATGATTAACAATACTATACCATAACGCCTAACTTTAACCCATTTCTCTTAAGAAAACATTTCTTAATGTAACACTATTTGACAATAAAATATGAAACATGATCTGACCATTTGTATAAAATTGATGTTTAATTTGACAATAAACAGACATTGTAGATGAATACTGAAATATTTACACTATAAAAATGAACAGAACTATAGTCTGATTTTACTCAATAAACAATTGTCAGTTTTAATGACTTTTACACAATTATTGTTTGTTCTAGATGGGTATACATAGAATGATGTAAAAACAGGGAGTGTGCAAAGCTCAAAATTTCTTCACATATGTATAATATGCTACTTACATAGATAGAGGATATTGAATGAGTGTAAGTTCAATACTGAATTTATTGCACGAGTTGAATGAAATTATATTATGCGAGCCTCTGGCGAGCATAATATTATTTTATTCAACGAGTGCAATAAATTCAGTAATGAACTTACACGAATTTAATATTCTATTTATCACATGCCCAAAATAAAGACCGTTTAAAGTGAAGTAAGAGTCATTTTTCATTGACGCGCCTATAATATAACGCTATCATTTAGCGCGTCTTTATAACGCTAACGACACTATGTTTGTATAACGCTAATGACGTCACGTCAAAATATATGCACGGCCGTGCAATACCATTTTTACGGAGTCGCAAAATCTGCACGGGTGTGTGATAAATGACTTTATGATTTAAATATAAAATGTTATCTTCATTGAACGTAACATTTCGACAGCCTGTAGATCCATTTTGGTTTATACAGAATTTACTTTAGTTTGATTGTGTAGGAATCTATAAGCTTATAGACACACTTACAAATCCGTTCCTGGAACCAACCTAAGTACTGAGCAATGAGCGTAAAGTTTCTTGCTAAAGGAAACAACCACTTGGTCCCTGATGGGGTTTGAACCCATGTGTCTAGCGTTCATTAGATTACTAGTCTTACGTGTTAACTAACCATAGCACATGCCCCTTAATTATTTTGGCCATTTGAAACAAAATAATTATACATGTATGTACAAATAAAGAAAAACATTTTTTTCTCAATACATTGTCTTAACATTTAGCCAGTTCGCGGCAACAGAATCTATCCATATGACCAGAGCAAACCAAAATCAGCTGCCTAATCATTATCTGACTGTTCTCTATTCAATCAATGCATTTATTGTAAATTGCTCTAAAAAATGATGAATGATTTTGCCCAGATTTAAAGATGGAAAAGTCCAATTATGATATTTAGCATGGTATAAGGGCTATACTTTCCAGTACTGTCCATAAACAGGCCCAATCAAACCGAGCCTGCAACATTAATGATTGTCAATTTTGCCATTTTGGACTTTCTTTAGGGCTTCTATTTCTCTCAATTTTATAAATACAGAACAAAGGTTTAAATCTTCACGAGAAACTTTATACCCATCACGACGGGTGTAAAGCCGATGAAAGTTGAGGTGTAAAACTAATTGTTGTTCCATCAATGGATAATGTCATAACTTTATTCATGTACATATTAATATAATCATGCTTTTTGTACTTACTTATCGACATCTATTCCAAAATTTTAACTTTTAACACTTCCAAAGTAACAAATGTTTTATAAAACTGAAACTGACAGCTTTTTAAGCTCCAACAAAATTTAACCCTCAATTTTTTTAATTTCAAATATGACAATTCTATCCTTAAAAATTTGTCACAATTTACAACAATATTGATATTCACTGTTCAAATATATTCAAATCCAATAATTTCAATGTACAAATGTTCAAAGTCATATCAAACCCAATTCAAAGTTACATGTACAAGTCAAGATGAATTGGTTGTAATTATGACACCACTGAAATTGACATTGCTTTCTTGAATAAATTACATAATCAAGTTATCACAAACATTATTACTGTGTAACACTATATAATTTCAAAGGAGTCAATATATATCAGTAAAACTGTAAAACACAGTAAAACATTATTAAACAATGTAATCAATCATTCAGCGAGACAACACCTGTCAAAGTATTACATTATAAACCTATGTTAAGACATAACAAATAGCCATTTGTTCCAGACTACAGCTGACCCAACTGTCAATTCTAACTGGCAAGTCCCTTCACATTTAAGAATTATGTCCGTAACATTCTATGAAATTTGCAGTCACGTTCTTTTAACATCCTATTTAAGTAATTAAAATCTGTCCACCTTTTTTTTAAAGCTGGTATCACATTTAAGTATATTTCTTTTAACATCCTATTACTATTAGAAAATAAAATCTGTCCATCTTTTCTTAAGCTGATATCATATGATATAAGTACATTCCTAGAAATTCTTGACACAAGCTTGGAAAATAATTTAAATACAAATTTAAATACTGATAAATTTACCTACAGCAGTAACAGTATCTTAAGTACATATATATACCTGTTGAAAAAAAAATACTTTTACTGATTCTACCACTGCCATTACCATTATGGTAAAAAGTTTTAATTTAAAAAAGGATCATCCCACATTTTGGAACAGGTATTATGAAATAAAGAATATCTGCAAATTTCCCAGCTAATCTGGGGATACAGACAAAACTTTAACTATTACAACCTTGTGGTGTTGCACTTAATTAACGGTAAATATATAGAAAATAAGGGCAACATGCTGATCACTTTTTTATGAACAGCAGTGAACTGTGAAGCAGACTTCCAGAAATACGTCGGTCCGACGGACATGTCCGATAAATTTTGATCAGGTCCGACAATTTTTTATTCCGGATCGGTCCGACTGTCCAGCTTTTATCCAAGCCGCATGTATACAAAATGGCGTCGCTAAAGGTGCCAAACCTTGGAAAACCGATAATCTACGTCAGAAGAGTGCGCAGAACAGCAATAAAAGGATGAAAAGAATAGACCAGAGACGAAATTTAATGAAAAATGGAAGCAGAACCATGTTTCATTGGTGTATGACACTTCCCTGGGAGGAGATGAAAATGCGCTGTACGGATTGTGCCGATGTTTACGGCGAAAAAATAAAAAACAAAAAGTGTCTTAGAAATACAAACACAAGTTTTTCTTTGATTTTGATCAATTTTATTTGGTCTGACAGATTTTGTTTCGGTCCGACAGTTTTTCATGGTTTGTCAGACCGAATGTCTGACAGTTTTTTTCAACTTTCGGGAAGTCTGCTGTGAAGGTACATGTATGTATTATACCCCAAGAATAGCTGGGAGAAACCCACAAGATCTATTATTAAACAGATTATTTATATATGATGCCACAGGTGTCAATAAAATGTAGTCTCCCTAAAAATAATGATTAATTGATCTGAATTTGAAAAATTAAATTGATAATTATTAAATTTATAATTAATACTTATAAAATCAGGAATTAATTTGATATTACATGTATTTATTCTATCTATCAAATTCTGAATATTGCAAAAAGTTCAATAAAAAAAATAAACTGAATGAAACATCTTAATTCAGTATAAATAACAATTATGACATGTTAATGACTGCAAAATAACATTTGAATTATTGGCAGGGTCATTGTGGTGATGGTGGGCTCAATATTTTGACTACAAGATCGACTGATTTTACAAACTGACATTACATACTAACATAGATGTTGGTCTTTATGAAGGGCGACCATCGTACATGTGTATATATAATAAAGCCCTGGCACACAATTTCTTTGACTAGGTCACTTGGGTATAGAAAAGTGCAATAGATTATACAGAAGTGTTCACCAATAAGTGTAAGCGATGATTAAATGAGCACCTTTTAAAAAAAATGTAATCAATTTAAGATGTTCGTATCATTAATGTATCTTAAAAGGCAGAATTAGTTGTGTTTACATAAAAATTTAGTAGTTTTAGCTATCAATGATTTTATTTATTTTCAAATTAAGAAATCACAAACTTAATATTTGTGACAGAACTGAAATTGGCAATGTTGTCGTTTCATTCACTTTGACCGGCCTTTTAGAAATTTTGTTCATGTTTCAGCAACAAGATATATGACATTATTGGCAAATTATTATAGTAACACTTCCTTTATCGTAACAATTGATTTTCACTTTAAATGCTGAAATGTTAAATATGATTTATGGAAGTTGCCAGCCATAGGGCGGCATCCATCTGGGTTCATTCATCTGCTAGCGACTTCCTCGATCCAGGGACCTAAGATAACTAAGGTCCCTGCTCGATCCATATATATTATTTTCAAACTTTTTTCAACAAACTGATCAATATATTTGCTGTTGTCAACAAGATTATCCAAGAAAAAATATGAATCACAAAAACTATAATGAGATGATATTAACCCTTGACACATGAAAGCATTGCTGAGTTGTTTGATTCATGATGAGTAATTTTTTGAGAACTTCATTAAAAATTATTATATACTTATCAGATACAAATACACACGATCTTCTATACAAAATATGTTTCATTAGTATAGAATAACAAAAAATAAGCATTAAAACCAGACTCTAAAAAAAATTGGCATAAAATATTATGTTCCTATAAATTAAAAAACTTACCCCACCCAGGCCATAGAGTTTACAGCACAGTAAAATGAATGGATAAAGCACTTACCTACACCTTGAAGGCACAGAAAGAAAGTCAGCGTAAAGAGAATCATTTTAATTTGACAACTAAGTCATGTTTTTGGAAAGAAAAAATGCGTTAAATGTCATAATTTTCATCAAAAGGTGATGTATCAATTAGCTGTCAATTTACAATATTTAACTCTCGCTTGTTCTCATTCAATCGCGTAATCGACGAGATCCAAGATGTCTGCGCCCATGAGTGGTCGTCCCAATTTTTGAACGTAGCAAGTTCAACATCAAGGTTGTACACATACACACTGACAAGCAAAATGAGTTTGAGCAAGGAAAGTAAAGAAAACTTTTTCGAAAGTATTCTTAATAAATATCTGAAACTGTTAAAAGAGAAACCACTTATCACAAAGTGCTGTACAAGGTGGGTGGAGTTTTGTTTTTTTAATGAAAAACTTAAAATGTAAAAGTATCTGAAAATATTTTGTTGTGCATTGACAAGCAACATGCATTTGTCAACATGAGGTCTTGAAACAGTGTTGATTGTTTTCTGTTATTGCAGTTCATGAACACTTCTTTGTTTGGTGAAAATGTTGAACTCCATGTAGTTGTTTTTGTTGTTGGTTTTTTTTGGCTATGAATTTGTAAGTTAATTGGTGGTGGTGGTAGTTTTCACTCCTGATCACAACAGTAAGCTACACTGAATTCACCAGAGCACAGTTCAGCCACCGCATTGTTCCTGAACAGGCTATCAAGCAGTTTACCTGTAGTAGTTGCCTCCACTTTCGCAAGGATCTGAAACTTCTGTACATGCCAGAGCTGAGGTAGCATGGGAGTCGGTAATAAGAAATTAGGCAAAGCCTATGAACGGGGAAGTCGTTAAAAAAATCCTTTCATTCTTTCCGTTTTAAAGGTGTCATTCGATATTACATACACCGCTTCCGTTTTCACTCGGAACACTCGACGATTATTACTAATCCGAAAAGTTGAGATTTGTTCCGTTATCGGAATACCCCGCCTATTATCATTGACATACATTGTAAATGGCGGCGCCCGACTAGAACTGACACTGAAAATTTCATTGATAGGTATAGAATTCTATATATTTTTTAATTGTTTTTTATTTGATTTTCTTTTAAATATTCACGTGTAGTCTATAGCCGGGCAAGCCAAAGCCCGGACCCGCTTCGCGGGCCCGGTCTTTGACTTCCCCGTATTATCGGCATACTTAACTTTTCCTATATGTCTGCATTGAATTTCATTGATGAATTTAATATCAATATTTTGTGTAAAGCAGTACAAATTCAACTAATCATTACATTTTTAATTGAATGAGGTCAAAGATTTTTAACTTCCACGTATGCATGACCGCACATAACAAAATACTGGGATAACGTTGGTAAAAGAGTTGCGCCGATAATACAGAGTTAAAGTATACAGTGCAAGTGACCACAGAAAAGATTTCATGATCAGTCACAAAGGAAGTGATTTTCGCTGACCCAGGTCTCCTATTCACATTCAAGGCTGTACATATTGAGTTAATCAGACGGCTGTTTTAAGTTTATAGGTTGACTGACCTCTCTTTTATATGCAGGGGATCAGATTAGCCAAAATATATTGATGTGCTAAAGCTAGATTCTGTGATATTTTCGTTCTGGGTCAGAATGGCTTTTAGAGGCGAGATATTGCCCAGACACAAAATAGCACAATATCTCGTCGCATGATACAATTAGTTGGACTAGGGCTCAGATCATTAATATGAAAGAAAGCAAAGCCAATGGAATGGGGAACATGGATAAACAAACTTAAAATCAAGGGACAGGTTAATTGAAGAGTCACACATGTGTATGATTTACATATTTTGAGGTTCAACTTTCAGCCTTTATCTGTTAAAGTATTGCAGAAATTAAAGATGTTGAATGTTAGAAAATTAAACTCATGTTCACAGTCAGTTCTTATTCTCATACTTAAGTTATAGCATAGGTGACATTACCAGTAGTTTATGCTGAAGGATTGTTCATGTACTGAAAGCCAAAGGGCTATATTCTGTAATAGACCCCAGTGTATAAACTAGGATTATACATGTGTATGTAACATTCATTCTGTTGTCTTTACTTTACTGCATGCAAGTTTTACTCCTGAATTATATAGAGGGTATTTTCCAGGAGATAGCCAGCCAAAACAGTTGACATTTATTAATAACTACTGTACACATGTATTTTGAGACTTGCAATCTTTTAGCATGGAGCAAAGTTGCAAAATACCATATACTTTAACTTATACATCAGCAGTAAAATAACACAATGTCAACATCAAATTTCAATATTTTCCAACCTCAAAATTGCTTCTTCTTTAGAATTTATTGAGAGTGAGCAGTTTGCCTTTTTTATTTCATAATCCCACAACTATTCTTGAGGCATATTGTAATTTGATATACATGAATTTGACTATTGTAAGTAAACAGAATAAAATGTTCTGGAACAAAATATACAACTGCTATAGGTTAAGTAGGTTTGGCGATTTAGTATTTTGTTATCATTTCAATTACAATATAAACAATAATTTTACAATCCATATAAAGAGCTTTATAATATATACTTTAAAGATGGTCAACAGGTTATATAAGTTATAACAACATGCTATTATAGAAGTTTTTTAACGTTTGTTTTCATTATTTTTTTATGGAATCAACAAACACTGAGATACAAACATAATTATATTAAATGTAGTCAGAATTTAAGAGATCTTAATTGTTCTTGATATTTTTCTGTTGGAGTTTTGATTAAAGATTAATATTTTTACAAATGATGATCCTTTATCATATAAATTCTTTTATCTTGTAGACAAGTCTTAACAGACATTGTTAAGACAACAGGATTTATCTGTGATATCAACAATAAGTATCTGATCTTGTTGATAAAATTCATAAGAGTTAAATATTAGGATCCTGTATATTGAAGCACATAAAATGATCTTACTCTTAAACCCAAATGATAATCATATTATATTAACCCTTGCCAATCTCAATATTTTAAATGGACTTGTCCAGCTTTCATTCTGGACAAAACCATTAATCATTTTTAGTGAAATTTTCAAAATTATATGTACCGACTGAATATCAAACAGTACAGACAATGATCAGACTGTTTACATGTTCTGGCTTATTTTGGTCTGCACTGGTTGCATCAGAGAGTATTTGTTTGTCGCCAGCAGGGAGAGGGTTTAGCTGTTAAAATGATATTGCCATGAATAGACTTACTCGGAATTAAGAATATTTTGGGTTTTTCTTGGCTAATCTGTAGGTAACAATCAGTAATTATATGTTTTGCAAAATCCTTAAAATCTTCATTGACTGTCCATCCCACCCCCCCCCCCCCCCCGCCCCCGGTTATGCAAATTAAAAGCGATAGTCTCACCCTTATACTGAGTAAGTCTGACATTTAAATTTTGTGCTTTGTGATTTTTATGATTATTTCTTTTCATTTTTTCATTTTTCAAACAGTGCATCAGTGTCAGCTTTAGGTAATTTCATCTCACAGAAAGTTGCTCCACATCCAGACGGGAAAGTGAAATGGAGGAGTGTCGCTTCATATGCAACATTCGCGTAAGTTACCATTTATTTAATTATACAAGCCAGTGTAAAGATATAAATACAATGTATTCCTTAATGGCAAATTGGGTTTGCTTTCAAAAGGTCATAGTCAAAATTTATGTATTTAGATAAAAATAAATTCTTAAAAGAAACAGCAAATTTTGAGTTATTGTGTACTTCCATAATTTATGGTTATGATATTTCATAGTTAGATTTAGTTAGCAAAATTAAGTCAAAGAATTAAGGACCAAAAATTATGCCAAGTCATTCGGGCTAATGTTTTGCAATATCTCATTGCAGGATAAGGCTTTAACATGCCCAAAATTGTAAAACTTTGAAAGTGAATAGTTGAATAATGAATAATGACATAATTATAGAGAATAACATGCTACTGTCTTTTGATATCACTTTTATCAGGCGAGGCTGATAAGGGCTAGAAAGGGCGAGGCTTGCCGAGCCCTTTCTGCCCAATAATATCAGCCAAGCCTGATAAAATTGATTTCAAAAGACAGTAGCATGTTTTTCTATTTATCATGTAACACATAGAAACTGTCAAAATTACAAATTAATCTACTTTTAAATAGCGAATTTCATAGAAAGGGGCATTTTTGTTGAAAGAAATAATGTAACGTTTAGACATTTTTACTCAGCTTGTTTTTATTAAAGATTATCGTTTGCTAAAATGATTTTGTGTAACTTACTTAACAATTATGTCATTTGTTTATATTGCGACAATGTATTTTAGTTTACGGTACTTTACAATATACGTTTAGTATACGTATTTTCAATAAACGTTTTATATCATATAATATAATAATCGTCTCAGTGATAGTGATCATTCTAATCAGCCAATGAAAATTAAGTCATGCTTGAGCGATCATCACAGCAGGTATAAATACGGCGGCAGAGCCAAAATTATTCAGTCTGCAGAGGAATTCACCGGCACCAGGTTACTTTATGTAATTGAAGCCTCGCTTCATACATAGAGGATAATTTCGTCTACCTAACTGAAGCCTAGCTTCATAGGTAGAAAAGAAGAATTGGCAAAACTAAATACCCTTGTTTATCCAATTGAAGCCTAGCTTCATGGATATAGTGTCGTTATAGTTTAGTTGTGAAATTGTATTTGACTCTGGTTACTTATAGACCACCACATTTCCTGAAAGCCTCGCTATCAGAAAATTGGTAACATATAGGTATTAAAATCCAGAGGTAGATTTAAAACGAATAAGCTTTGTATAGTTGGAACTTTGTTGTAAATCGCTACCAGCAGCTTATCTTCCTATCTAATAGAAGCCTCGCTTCATAGATAGAGATGTAGTTGCTGGACTATAGGAAATTATCGGGTTGCAGCGTAATATCTATAGCTGTTGAATTATTTCATAGTGTTATATTGTAAATTTTGTTACTTTTGATAATTTAATAGTGTATTTTGGAGTATTAATTCAAGCTGATTGTTTATGATATATGATAATTTCATAATCATTTGTATCTGATCAAACGGCAGGTAGCCCAAAGAAAAATTTATTATATATTCGTTGTACATCCGCTCGGTACACGTTACAAAAATTGGTGGCAGCGACGGTGGGATAATATAGATAAGAACACCATTATCTAGACTCACACGTTAAAATAAATTTTCGTTAAAAATGGCTGAGAGTAAAGATTATAGTTATGAGAATGAGCTTACATTGTTACACGAAAAACTTAGAGAATTACAGCACCAAAATGAAGCTTTGAAATTGCAAAATGAAATATCAATACTTGAAAGACAGATTGACAGTATGCAGTTATCTTTTCAAAATCAATATGACTCAAACTATGAAGACAAACAAACGTCAACACCTAAATTTTTAACAAGACAATATGCAACACCTCTATCAGAAAGAAGGCGACGTTTATTACCACCGACCCCAGATAAAAAGCCCTTTAAAATAGAAAGTGTCTTAACCCCATTAGTTGAAAAACAAAGGTTTACGGAATCTTCTTGTGGCTCTGATTTAAATTATCCGAGAGATCGATTTGTTACTTTTCGAAAGAGAAAATCACAACCAGCAAATAAAACAGAGTCCTTACACAGCAACATACAAATGGATACTTCAAATTCAACAGAAATAAAACGTGACCCTAAAAACTCAAATTCAAAACGAAGTGTTATGATGAAGCCAGCTACGTATGATGGAACTAGCTCATGGATAGACTATAAAAAGCATTTTGAGGCATGTTCAGAAATTAATCAATGGACAAACAAAGAAAAAGGTCTTTATTTATCTGTTTCATTAAGAGGTCAAGCTCAGGGTGTATTTGGCAATCTGACAAGCAAATCACCAAATTATGATGAACTTGTATTAGCTTTAGAAGAAAGGTTTTCACCACCCAATCAAACTGAATTATATAGAGCTCAACTAAGAGAAAGAAGACAAAGAGCTACAGAATCTTTACCTGAGATGGGGCAGGACATAAGACGTTTGACTAATTTAGCATACCCTTCAGCACCATCAGATGTGAAAGAAACGTTAGCGAAAGAACAATTTATAGATTCTTTGGTCAACGCGGATATGAGGCTTAGAATTAAACAAGCTCGTCCTACTAGCTTGAATGAAGCAGTAAGACATGCTGTTGAGCTTGAGGCTTTCAACAGAGCAGAACGAAAATCCCATGAAAACCATTGTTATATGAGAAAGTTAAATTCTGATCAGTATGAGTGTTCGAAAAATCAAGATAGCAAATTAGATAGCCTGATAAAATTAGTAGAAGAAATGAAGAATATGTTATCAAAGTTTCGACGCCAAAATAATTTAAAAACTTTTGATAAAAGAAATCAAAACAACCTGCGATATCAAAATAATAGCATGTCTTCACAAATATTTCCTAATAGGTCAAATACAAAGTCTTTGAAATGTTATGAATGTGGTCGGGAAGGTCATAATAAATACAATTGTCGAAAATTCATTAGTAGATCAAAACGAAAAATTAATGTGTTAGAAAAAGATTGTGAAGAATTGTCTAATTCGTGTGGTTCAGGTTTATTTGTTGAAGCTACCATAAATGGCATTAAAGCTAATTGTTTAATTGACACTGGTGCAACACTTTCAATGATTTCTTCAAGTTTTATAGATAGATGTCGGTTTCCAGTAAATTTAGAACCGTTTGATGCAAACATTGTAAATGCATCTGGAAAACCTTTAGAAATAAAAGGAAGAACACATTTAGATGTTCAATTGAATGATGAAATTTCGACAAATCCCTTTATAGTTTCTGACATAGAGGGAGATGCAATATTAGGTTTAGATTTTATGACAGCAAGAAATATTGTAATAGATGTTCCGAATAATCAGTTGACAGCCAATGGTAAAAAGATAAAAATGAATTGTAAAGGTCCAATAGGTTGTAACCGAGTGATTTGTCATTTTTGTGGAATGAAATTTAAAAAGAAAGCTTATATAAGACAGCATTGTAGAAGATTACATAGTTATGGAATATAAAGAATAAGTAGTATCTAAGAGTGTGTATGCCAAACCTAATTGTTAGTGGCAATTTTAAAAAATCTGTAAGTTCATGCGGGGCGCATGTAAAACGGAGGCGTGGGTAGTGTAACGTTTAGACATTTTTACTCAGCTTGTTTTCATTGCTAAAATGATTTTGTGTAACTTACTTAACTATTATGTTATTTGTTTATATTGCGACAATGTATTTTAGTTTACGGTACTTTACAATATACGTTTAGTATACGTATTTTCAATAAACGTTTTATGTCATATAATATAATAATCGTCTCAGTGATAGTGATCATTCTAATCAGCCAATTAAAATTAAGTCATGCTTGAGCGATCATCACAGCAGGTATAAATACGGCGGCAGAGCCAAAATTATTCAGTCTGCAGAGGAATTCACCGGCACCAGGTTACTTTATGTAATTGAAGCCTCGCTTCATACATAGAGGATAATTTCGTCTACCTAACTGAAGCCTAGCTTCATAGGTAGAAAAGAAGAATTGGCAAAACTAAATACCCTTGTTTATCCAATTGAAGCCTAGCTTCATGGATATAGTGTCGTTATAGTTTAGTTGTGAAATTGTATTTGACTCTGGTTACTTATAGACCACCACATTTCCTGAAAGCCTCGCTATCAGAAAATTGGTAACATATAGGTATTAAAAATCCAGAGGTAGATTTAAAACGAATAAGCTTTGTATAGTTGGAACTTTGTTGTAAATCGCTACCAGCAGCTTATCTTCCTATCTAATAGAAGCCTCGCTTCATAGATAGAGATGTAGTTGCTGGACTATAGGAAATTATCGGGTTGCAGCGTAATATCTATAGCTGTTGAATTATTTCATAGTGTTATATTGTAAATTTTGTTACTTTTGATAATTTAATAGTGTATTTTGGAGTATTAATTCAAGCTGATTGTTTATGATATATGATAATTTCATAATCATTTGTATCTGATCAAACGGCAGGTAGCCCAAAGAAAAATTTATTATATATTCGTTGTACATCCGCTCGGTACACGTTACAATAATTCTTGAAAACAAATTCCTCCGCCCCTGAAACTTAGAATTTGTAAATGGCGGCCATTTTTTCTTTCGACTCAAGATTATTTCCTGTGATAAAAGATACAACAGAATGTAACACGATAAAATTCTTACCTTTAAACAGTGATCCAAAGAAATCGCTAAGAATCACATAAACTTTACAGCACTTTTTGTCTTGAATTGTCAAATTCAAAATTTCACGATAATTTCAATCAAACACAAGCTTCACAAACATGAGTCTTATTTTTTGAACGAAACAATTTGTTCACTTATTAAATTATAATCCAAGATTTACAAGTTCTTAAAGAAAATCGTCTAGCCTCTTTGTTATGATTACATGTATAGTATGACGTGAACATCGATGATGTCATTTTATCAGTTACCATAGCAGTTGCATGATAAATACAGTTATATTGTACTCTATTCCCTGAATCGAGGTTCCATTTGAAATTAAGTCATTTTATTTTCAGAAGCTAACACTGACTAAGGTGATTGGCTGCTAATTTCTCACAGGCCATTTGGGCTAGTTATATATTGAGAATGTTACATGTCTGACGCAAACTGTACTAGCCATGGGCTCGGGGGCTAGTGCTTAGTTTGTAGAATGAAAATTAAATTTATCACTTAACTCCTCAATTTATTGTTATTGCTTATATGAGTCAAGTTTTATTATGTTTATCACCTTTGTCTGATATTATTATTGTGACTTATATTTCATATACATGTAATATGAACCTTGATAGGAAATACATGTGAAAGAAATTATATTCTGTTCTATCATAATATCATGATAATGTTTTTATTTTTCAAAAGAATTTATAAGTATCATAAATAAATGAATTTATGAGTTACTGAGATCAGTAATGGGTAGCAAAACAAATTACAAACTTCATTTTTAGTTTGACTCTTTTAATAACTGTGGTCTTTTGCATACAAACTTTCGAAATTTATATTTATAATGTCACAGTTGCTTTTTATGGTGGTGGTGTTGATAGTTTTTACTCAGGATCATGTCAGTAAGCTACATTGAATTCACCAGAGCACAGTTCAGCTGACGCACTGTTCTTCGCATTGTTCTTGGGCAGGCAGTTTACATGTACCAGTACTAGTTGCCTTCACTTTTGCAAGATACTGTAGAGATACAGTATAAATGAACTTAGAAAGGATTTCATGATTAATCACAACGACAGTGACCTGCACCATTTGGGAATCAAGAACCCATGTCGCCTGATTCACATCCATCGCTCTACCTATTGAGCTAACCTGACGGCTTTTCCTTATTATATGACGTAAACAGTACATATAAAGTTATACTCAATACATTTCAGGTTCTGTCTTAGTGCCCTGGCTTTTGCTTTTTATATGACGTAAACAGTACATATAAAATATACTCTATTTATTTCAGGTTCTGTCTAAGTGCCCCTATTATCCATTATTTCTACATGCTTTTGGAGAAGATACAACCCCGGAAGGAGAAACCGAGCCAGATAGATAATATTAAACGACTGTTGATTGACAGATTCTTGTTCACTCCTCCATTTATACTACTCTTCTTATACGTAGTTACAATTCTAGAGGTAAGTGTTCCTTCTTTATTCTTAACTAGGGGTGTCATGGTGTAAATTATAACTTGAATTTTTTACTTTTCTAAATATCGTAGATTTTTCTCAAGTTTGTTTTTCATGAAATATTTTCACTCATCTGGAGGCATGCACCTTTAAATCATCATGGGAACCCACAGTACACATTCTGTATATACTATATTTTAACACTTGTGTAAGGTAAATAGCCTGAGTTACCAAAGAAGCTTTAAATTTTTCATCTTGAAATACCTAAAATGATAATCATGGACAAGTCTATTTAAGAAATTCACAAGGTTAAGATAATTTTACCAAAAGAAGTGGAAAAGTTGTATTCAATGTTTTCAAAAACTATGTTTATGTATTTTGTCATCGGCAGTTTTCATTTTCCACCATAATTCTTTTGATTTGACAATTTTATGAAACAATTCATCTAAAAATAACATATGTAACCTTGAGAAAAGCTGAAGGCCACTTTAAGTATATTTTGGTCTTGGACAGCATTCTGCTCAGTTATTACCAAGAAACTCTGATTTAGGTATAATTGTATACTATTTATTATTGTAGGGTCAAGGTTCAGCAGTTGCTATGGAAAAAATACGAACCCAGTTCTGGACGATCTTAAAGATGAATTGGAAAGTGTGGACAATCTTCACATTTATAAACGTTAATTACATTCCAGTTAGAGTGAGTGCCCTTTGATTTCCTATGTGTTCAGACTTGTTTTGACTCAAAAAATAAATGTGGTTTAAACATACGTATTTAAGCTGGATTGCGAAACAAGTTCTTGCAACTTATTTTATTTTAAACACTTTCCAGTCGGCTTCCTGAAACCAGCCAGTACTGGTGTCATATTAAGAAACATGGTTGTGAAACGATTAGGGCTCGGACCTATGAATGATGATCCCAGGGTTGAGAGGCAGACACCATAACCACTTGGCCTACCCCCCACTTTCCTGAAAACAAATTTAAAGGGACATCATGCCTCAGAAATGAACACTGTTCATATACAAATTCTTCTTTAAAAATGACAGACCATATGTTTTATACTTTTAATATTGCACTAATGAATTTATTGCATGTCAGATGCTTATCTTATATGCTTATAGAGTAGAGCTTCAAGGGAAATAATGTCATAAGTGTAGCAAAATGTAAACTGTATTTCAGTACTGTGTTATATTATTTCTATATATCTGTATTTCGGTACTGTGTTATATTATTTCTATATATCTGTATTTCAGTACTATGACGTTATACTATTTCTATATATCTGTATTTCAGTACTGTGTTATATTATTTCTATATATCTGTATTTCAGTACTGTGTTATACTATTTCTATATATCTGTATTTCAGTACTGTGTTATATTATTTCTATATATCTGTATTTCAGTACTGTGTTATACTATTTCTATATATCTGTATTTCAGTACTGTGTTATATTACTTCTATATATATGTATTTCAGTACTGTGTTATATTATTTCTATATATCTGTATTTCAGTACTGTGTTATATTATTTCTATATATCTGTATTTCAGTACTGTGTTATATTACTTCCATATATTTGTATTTCAGTACTGTGTTATATTACTTCAATATTTTTATTTTTCAGTACCGTGTATTATTTGGAAACATGGTTGGACTGTTCTGGTCAGTGTTTGTAGCAGTGAAAAGACGTCAGATGGGAGTGTGAAAAATCTAAATATAGACATGTGTATATAGTGACCATTCATTGGCTGCATTTAATCATGTGATATAATTATACTGTGTGTAAAATACAGTCAATAACCCTGTATTCATGCATAGTCATTGTGTATATACATATTTGTCAAATGGTCGTGAATCTTGAAGCGGCCTTTACCTTTTATTTTTTTGTAGGTAAAACAATTCTGTGTTGTTTCGAACTAAGTATTTCAGTAACTTTATCTTGAAAAAGTGTGTCATATCACTGTTGAGCCTTTTCACAGTTGAGCGTCCAAAGAGCTATTTATAACATGGCAGTGACATTCGTTTCGGGAAACAAAGTGTCCGCTTTACTAATTTACATATATAGAGTGGACCGGTAGATTAGAGGTGTCACAGGGTTTCCTTAGTGTGTATGTATTTTAACGGGGGTAAATTTCATTTTCTGCCCTTTATGCCTTAATTCTTTTGATTGACAATAATATATGAAACAATTTATCTTAAAATAACATATTTAAGCTAAAGAAAAGTCGAAGGCTGCTTTAATCCTTCGACTATGATAAAAGTATCAAAGCAACTCATTATCACTAGATTTTAACCAATTTTTTTTTAAATTTTTTGAAAATGTTACTATAATACAAATATTGTCAGTTGATCAAAGAAATACATACAAGCTTGTATAAGGCAACTTACAATGTACATGATTTACCTAAGATATCCCTTAGTCAGTATGTAACAGGGTACAAAAATGTTGAAAAAATTATTGAAATAGTTGATTTTTAATTTTTGGCATATTACCTATATGAAAGGCATTGAAGTAATTTTGATATATGTCATGGATATTTAACTTTTTAGCTCACCTGTCACAAAGTGACAGGGTGAGCTTTTGTGATCGCTTTTCGTCCGGCGTCCGTCCGTCCGTTGTCCGTCCGTCCGGCAACTTTTGCTTTAAATGACATCTCCTCATAAACCACTGAGCCAATTTCATCCAAACTTCACAGGAATGTTCCTTTGGTGGTCACCTTTAAAAATTGTTCAAAGAATTTAATTCCATGCAGAACTCTGGTTGCCATGGCAACCGAAAGAAAAATCTTTAAATATCTTCTTTTAAACAACCCTAAGAGCTAGAGCTTAGATATTTGGCATGAAACATCTTCTAGTGAGTGTCTACCAAGTTTGTTCAAATAAAAGCCCTGGGGTCAAAATTGGCCCCGCCCCAGGGGGTCATTGATTTTCCCTATATGCATATAGTAAAAACTTAAAAAAATCTTCTTTTAAAGAACCCAAAGAGCTAGAGCTAAGATATTTGGCATGAAAACATCTTCTAGTGAGTGTCTACCAAGTTTGTTCAAATAAAAGCCCTGGGGTCAAAATTGGCCCCGCCCCGGGGGGTCATTGATTTTCCCTATATGCATATAGTAAAAACTTAAAAATCTTCTTTTAAAGAACCGTAAGAGCTAGAGCTTAGATATTAAGCATGAAACATCTTCTAGTGAATGTCTACCAAGTTTGTTCAAATAAAAGCCCTGGGGTCAAAATTTGCCCCGCCCCAGGGGGTCATTGATTTTCCCTATATGCATATAGTAAAAACTTAAAAAATCTTCTTTTAAAGAACCCAAAGAGCTAGAGCTAAGATATTTAGCATGAAAGATCTTCTAGTAAGTGTCTACCAAGTTTGTTCAAATAAAAGCCCTTGGGTCAAAATTGGCCCCACCCCGGGGAGTCATTGATTTTCCCTATATGCATATAGTAAAAACTTAAAAAATCTTCTTTTAAAGACCATAAGAGCTAGAGCTTAGATATTTGGCATAAAACATCTTCTAGTGAGTGTCTACCAAGTTTGTTCAAATAAAAGCCCTGGGGTCAAAATTGACCCCGCCCCAGGGGGTCATAGATTTTCCCTATATGCATATAGTAAAAACTTAAAAAATCTTCTTTTAAAGAACCCAAAGAGCTAGAGCTAAGATATTTAGCATGAAACATCTTCTAATAAGTGTCTACCAAGTTTGTTTAAATAAAAGCCCTGGGGTCAAAATTGGCCCCGCCCCAGGGGGTCATTGAATTTCCCTATATGCATATAGTAAAAACTTAAAATCTTCTTTTTAAGAACTCAAAGAGCTAGAGCTAAGATATTTAGCATGAAACATGTTCTAATGATGTCTACCAAGTATGTTCAAATAAAAGCCCTGGGGTCAAAACTGGCCCTGCTCGGGGGGGGGGGGGTCATTGATTTTCCTTATATGTGTATAGCAAAAACTTAAAAATCTTCTTTGAAAAAACCCAAATAGCTAGAGTTTAGATATTAAGCATGAAACATCTTTAAGTAAATATCTACAAAGTTTGTTCAAATAAAAGCCCGGGGGTCAAAACTGGCCCTGCCCCAGGGGTGTCATTGTTTTTAACTATATGTGTATAGTAAAAACTTAAAAAATCTTCTTTTAAAAAACCCAATAAGCTAGAACTTAGATGTTTAGCATGAAACATCTTCTTATGGGTGTCTACCAAGTCTGTTCAAATAAACAAATAAAAGCCCTTGGGTAAAAATTGGCCCGGGGGTGGGGGGGGCCTATATACAGGTGAGCGACCTCAGGGCCATCATGGCCCTCTTGTTTTCTAATGTTAGATTTTTTTAAAAACTTTTTGGTTCAACTTTTAATGGTGTGTAGTTTTAGATAAACAACAAAGGAATATAAACAAAAAAGGAATCAAAGCTTTATGTTTTTATTGTACAACAGTAGTACTGTACTGTTGTATGCTTGTAGCAATAATCAGGTACAAATGGAGTTGTTTTAGTAAGGGGGAATAACTTTTACCCAATTTTACAGGAGTTTTACAAAAGGGAGACTACTTTTGAAAAGAAAGCACTATGTCATGTCTCATTTCATATTTATCCGTTATTATTTGCTTAAATTTTGGTATTTAGCTTTAATATTTTATTGGAATCCTTGCAAGAGTATTGATTTCTGGCAACACATGATTGTAAACTTAAAACCTGACAAATTTATTGTCTATTTTTTTTTTTTTTTTTTTCATTTGGTAATAAATAAGATTTTTGAGGACAGTTTTGGGGTAAAAAAATTCTTACTTGGTTGACTTATTACCAGTGGTTCCTGAACAGCTTTTCTAAACATTTACTGTTACCATAAGTAACTGAGTGAAGCAGAACTGCCATACCTAGGTTGTGACAACACATGTCGTATGAAAATTAAATCAAAATACTTAACAAAAATGTTTTTACTTTTAATATCTATATTTGGAAGTCTATACTTTTGATTTTTTTGTTAAGCATGAAATCTATGATGGAATGTAATTTAATTTTAATGTAATTTTCATGTTCATTATACTTTTTGCACTTTTGCTTTTTTATCGTTTTTTTTTTATACTAGCATGTTAGTATATTCTGTATTTAAATACATATGTAGATGATTTAATAAGTCACATATTTTCTGTATTTTAGCAGAATTGTTTTACTACATATGTTTATATTTAAGACAGAGGCTTATTTGTTATGATCTGTATCATTGAAAGCTCATAGAGTTATATAATACATGTATATATAATTATACATATTGCAAGGTCAACAAATTTTTTATGCTGCAAATATACTTATATCATTTGAAGCTGTGGATTAAATACATACAAACCTTTAAAATTTATAGCTGGCCCGCTTAGCTCAAGAGCAAGACCATCAGATTTGTAACCAAGGGGTTGCAGGTTCGATCCTTTGGCTAGGGGAAATAACTCTTTGACAATTAACCTTGGATTTTGAGCCTAATGTATCGCTAGCCCCTGATTCTGAAATTGTGCAGGTTTATTAGTCGGTCACTTGCAGATTAATTTACATTTTTGTTTATTTTTATTACCTCTTCCATACCACTTGAGGACAAAAATATATTTTGATCATGTAAATCTTTGAATATATTAATGCTATTAAAATAAGGACTTACCAATAGTTAATAATGAAAACGTTTAAGGTTAAAATATAAAAACTACTAACTTACCGTAATTATAAAATGACTGCCCGGCTCTGTTTAAAATTTGAACGCTACCAATACATTTTGAACCGTACTTGTATTTATAGAAATTTTCATGTGGATTATTGATTACTTTTGCATTGTAAAATATAAAATTGAACATATTATTATGTTTTTGACATAATAATTGGTATATCCATTCTTGGACATGAGTTTGTGATATAAATGTTGTTGTTGGTTTTTTTTCATGATCAAGGACTGGAAAGGGTCCTATAGACAACTTGTGTTATGTCCATTAAAGGCCCATTAAGTCCCAAAAATATGTCAAAAAAGAGTTGAATTCACTTCAAAAGTATGGTAAAGGTTTTTACTTTTTATTTTTATCAAACAGTATTTTGTAAGATTTGTTGTAAATTTCTATAATATCAGGTAATTTTAGTATTTTTGGTAAATTTATGATTGTGATAATTTGAAATGATTGTATACATGTTTATGAAATTATTTACATGAATGTGGATAATTGTAGTAAATTGTTTTTTCTAGAAATATATTTGAATCAAATAAAATTGTTTAAGCAGTATTTACGTTGATTGATTTTTGTAACCTCTTCTTCACCACTCGCAGTGAGATGGAGGGTCAACACAGATATATCTCGTCATGTCAAACTATCGGCTAATTAAAGATGTATTAAGCTCATCTTTAAGTAAAATATTTTTATTGCAGAAATTTATTTATTTATTTCTATGAAATTCTTACTGAATTTGTTTAATTTTGATAAAAGGAATATACAAACTACATGTATGCATAGGAAGCTGCATTCCTTGTTACTGGTTAAGTAAAGTTTGTCCTTGTAATATTGTGCCTATTTAAAAGTATTTATAGTGAAAAAAATATCTACTTGTTTGAAGTCAAAACAGCAATCTACGAATTAGACCCCTCCGTATATTTGAGGAATAAAATTTGTATATAATAAACTAAAGATAATGGAATGATCTTAATATACATGTATATATTCCTGGTCTGGTCTATTCCAGAATATGGCAGTCAAAACTTTATTAGTTATAAAGAGACTGTGTTATTGTAATACCAATACTCGTATTTTCAAATATCAAATTTAAGTATAGTGTATCTTTAATGCACAACCACTGTCGTCTGCTGTGGAAGAACTGGTCTAACGTTTATTTAGGCTGTGTAGCACCCTTGTATGCCACATAAAGAACTGAAGTATGCCAGTGGTAAGTGATGAATTCATGGCTGTGTAGGACCAGAAGGTGATTTTCGGCCCGATAAATGAATAACCCCCCAGGGCTTCACTTTGTTGAAAGCTGTACATGTAATACAATTTTCTATAAATGTAATACTTCTGTTGTTATAATTCCAATGACAGGCAGTCTAGAGAACTCTGGGCTTGTCCCTCATCGCTGTAGGTTCGGGTCACTCAAGCGTCTCGGATTCTTTCATGTGAGAAAGCTATTCAGCAAGCTTGCGGAACGTCGGTGCCTCTGCTCAGGTGCCCGTTTGTTCCTGGAAAAACGCACAGAGGGGCACCTGAGGCCAATTATAAGAGGTAAAAAGACGCTGAGTAGGACCAGAAGGTGATAAACGACCCGTTAAATAAATAATGTACCTCGAGGGTTTCACATACATGTAATACAGTAATACTGTTTTCAATAACTTTAATATTCCTTTTGTATTAAATTCCCATGACATTCTATAGAGCACAGGGTTTGCCTCTCACCGCTATAGGTTCTCTAATGTCTCAGATTCTTTCATGTGAGAAAGCTATACAGCTATATCAAACGGAACATTGTTGGTTCTACTCACTAGCACAGATCTTCCTTCAACAGTAAAGCTGGAAATAGTTATAAGACCATGCTGTGTTGGCGCGACGTAGAACCGAATAAGATACGAAATGTAATAATAATAATCCAGTCACATTTTTTTGTCCCCGAATAAAACTTCGTTGTTGTTTCTTTTGCGTTTCAGTAAAGCTTTGTGTTTTTATGTCACCAAATATCAACTTGTGTGTTTTCTATTATGAGGAGACACATTTTGAGTGATTTCTCTAATTTCGTTAATGTTGACCCATTTTATCGTGTCATATACCATTGTCCTAATAAACCTTTCCTTTCGGTCAACACAAACAATAATTCACAAAGCTCGGTTTAAAATGAAATACTCAATTGAACCAAACCATGGAACATAGGCAATGTGGAAAAGCTGTTGCCGTTCACTACCATTCAGAAAGACTTAGTGTTGATTTTGTGGAAATATACCGATTATATTTCTGTATATTCTTAATTGCATGAATTGATTCGTGGTTTAAAGAACTGTTCAATCAACTTCCATCAAGTTTTACCTATGTGAACTAGTTTTTTTCAATACCCATTATTGAGACCGGAGTCACAATCTTACCACAGATGGTAACAAAGAAAAGAGTAGTTTTTAGATCCGTATTAACAATGTAGAAGATTTTGTCAAAACAATGAGTATGAATCAAAGAAACTTGGGGAACATTTCTCTATGTTCTGTCAAACGCCAATGTTCTTTGTTCAGCTAACAATAATCACCTCAAACATCAATTTTATTTTTTAAAAACTATCATCCAGAAACAGATAATATGCCCCAAACACACATTCCCTAAAACTAAAAGGAAAGTGCAAATGTAAGACAGGTGATGATTATTTATTTGAATGTACTATATTTCAGGAGAAAACAAAGACAAATTCTAATTTGATTTAAAATATTTATAATCAGAAAATTATATTAAAGATCTTTCGTTAAAAACTATACTTGGATGATCTTTCTGACATCGTAGTTCTCATGTTAAAAAAAACAACAACAAAAAAACTGTTTGTCACATAATAGCTTTGCACTCTTTTTTTATTTCAGTTGGATACTTTCTGGCGAATCGTCTGCTGGTAATCTGGCATACCTGTAAGAATAAAGAAAATAACTTATAAACGCAAGATGAAAATAAATCCTGCATTTATAGAACAAAACCTGAATTTTCTGGTTATTATACACCATTTACTATTTTTGACATTACAATTTGAAAGGTTTCCCCTTAAATTTTGTGTATTGGCTAAATTTAGAATAAAGTAGTCCGGCAAGACACCAGTGAAAATACGAAAAATAAGTCTCAATGCAGCAAAAAAAAATTTTTTTACAGTAAAAATATTGAAAATGAAAAAAAAACGCATTTTATATCATCAAAATTTCTCAATATTTCATTTATAACACAGTGTATAATACAATGGCTTATAATTGTCGTTTTAGTAAACATGTATCTCAAAGGCCCATTTAGCAACAAAATTAATAGTATTTTTTTTTTATTTCTCAAAACCTTTCTATTTTTGGTGTATATTATAGTGTCATAAAAGTTACTGATTAGCCATGTATTACTTCTATTGAATTTTAGCGTTTATATTAAGTATTTTGTTTAAAAATGTTTTTATTTCTGAGTTTAATGTGTCTTCAACTTACCCGGAATGAATCTCACTGTTACAATAGATGGACATTATCCCAAACGAACCAACATCATCCCATTCGTCAATGATCTTCTCGTTTCCCGCTTGTTGACTGTCGTCTGCAAACACATTTTGGTCGTCTGCTGTTGTTGTGATGTTAGTCACGCGCTCGTCTTCGAGGCTTAGATTGAATATCTGCGGCACTTCAGGTACTTGGTGTTCAAACACGCCATGCGGCTTTTTATTTGTTGACTTCTCAAATATGTTTCCCGTTCGTTGACTGTCGTCTGCAAATACATTTTGATTGTCTGCTGTTGTTGTGACATTAGGCACGCCCTCGTCTTCGAGGCTTAGATTGAATATCTGCGGCACTTTAGATACTTGGTGTTCAAACACGCCATTTGTTGACTTCTCAAATATGTTGAAGTTATGTCTCTGTTTAGAGTTTAATTTTCCGACAGTGATAAATTTGCGTGATGGTTTCGTCCATATGTCTAAAGTGTAATGTTTGGTTATTGGACACATGCCAGTTGCTAGTGAAATGATACCAATTATATCTTTAAATGCCAACATATAGATTATTGGTTGTATTGGCCGAGTGTATCCAATCAGATTTTCGCCTGCTGGAAAACCATAAGCTTTCTTTGATGTCGGTTTAGCATATATCAAGAACTGATATGCGTAGTATTTGACTATTTTCTTCAGACATTTCAATGGAACAGTCATGTTTATTCCGCAAATTGATGAGTACCTTTTTGTAAACGGGACTGTTTCTGTAAATGGTACAATGGAAGCATTTGTGTGATCGATCGCTGGTGAATTCTGGGTAATTGGAGACATATTTTGCGGGTATACTTCTTTAAAGAGCATTGACATGTTTCTTGGACCATGACTGAATTTAACACATTGAAACGGACTGAGATTTTCGTATGTCCACATATCGTTAGCAATCGGATAAAACTGACATCCCTCATTTCCTTGTAATGCAATATTGTCTTCTGATTCCCGCTGTAACATATTGTCGAATATATCCTGCTCCAAAATATTGTCGTCTGCTTCGTGGTATGGCAAAGTGTCGTCTGTAAATATGGCTGGACACATTTTGTCGTCAGAGAATGAGGAATCATAGTCGAGAGTTGCTTGAAATATGCTCGCTTTGTCCAACAGTGCGTCATTACCGGCATGTTCAATATGCGACTCAATAGCTTCTTTAATTACAGAATTTTCTTTGCCGATTTCAACATCATCTATATCTTTCTCGGTTACCTCACTGTCGATTTCCTTCGTTGTCAGGGTATTGATATCACTATCATTTACAGGTGTGTCGAATGATCTGATTTTTCTATTTTTACCAACACTTGCGGGTCTAATACAGAAACTATAAAGTTCCTCACCTTGTGAATCATCGTTGACTTCCGAGTACTTGATATCAATTTTCGGTTTTTCAATATGCCTTAAGAAAGCGTCAACACTATTACAGAAATTATAGTATGAACGGTTTGGTTTTACTATACTCTTTCTAGCTTCCTTTTCCTCACTAAAACGGACTTTTAGTTTACTTAAAAGACTTTCAACCTTACTTTTCATTTCTTCCTCTTCTACTTTTCCAGATACTTTCCAATCAATTTCCTTTTCCTCCTCTAATTTTCTCATCATTCTCCGCCTTTCAAGCACGCTGACAAATCTTTCACTGGTATCGTTATTGATAGAATCATCTTCCTCTGTAACTTTAGATATGTCATCAACAATATCTGATATATCAGAACTATCACCGGCACCATCGGTGTGTGGAAAGTGACCTGCATTGTCTAACAATTCGCTGTTGAAACCTTGGTTAGTTGACAACTCTGAAAATGAGTGAGAGAAAGGGAAAACTTACAAACAAACACAAAAAAAAACCATAAACAAACAATTACTTCAATAGGTTTACAGTGATCCGTATTATTGATCATTGTTAAAACAAGTTTTATTTAGGTGTTGTTGTTGATCTTTCTATTATCAAATATAAATCGCTAAATTATTTTAGTATAGGGATGCCCATTCTGACCAACGTGAAATAGGTTAATGTTGTCCTTAAATTCACAATATGTAAAAAAATGATAAATAAATAAATTCCGTCGATCAAATCACTCAGATAATGATAAATGAATAAATAAATAAATAAATAAATAAATAAATAAATAAATAAATAAATAAATAAATAAATAAATAAATAAATAAATAAATAAAATAAAATAAAATAAATAAAATAAAATAAATAAATTATTAAACGATTTAAGAAATATTTCAAAATGATTCTATAGAGCTCTACCCCTACCGTCAGCAGTAATTTCAACCAATTTTATTTCTGGATAATAACAATGTAAAGCAAACTTTTTTCTTACTTTTCAGATACTCTGTAGATACGTTTTCCATGCTTATTTTATAAAGTTGTTGCTGTTCCGTTGCTTCGTGACATTCTTTTAAATGTGTTTGCTTTCCTGCGTTAAAATGCGTCTGTTGATATGCGTTTGTATAATAAACTGAAAACCATAGAGCTAACGTCTTTTTACGCTACTTTTAGACGTCATGACGCTAGTTTTGACATAACGTCCAGGGGCGACTACTGTGTTAATTGCAATGGTTTGCAGTTCTTTCCCTTTACAATAAGAACGTCGTATGAATTATTAAAGGCACATTATGTCTCAGAAATGCATATCTATTATTATCTTTAGAAATGTCCAACATGTGTTTAGTAATGTTTAAATAATGGAGTTAGAGCGTGAAAGATGAAAGGTAACGAATGTTGGATGTGCAGTAATGTGTAGTAAATGTTGCAAAATGTAAACAAAGTAGTATTTGAAAGAAACAAAAAAGATAGCATTTCTGAGCCATAATGGGCCTTTAATCTGTTTTTGTATTTGTAAACTCATCTCGAGTTGAGCCGCTTTAAAGTGAACTTAAAACTTAACACTCAACTATTATAAAAACATCTTTATTTTATAAAATCATATATATAATAAATGCGACAAAATTTAGAAAAAAATCTACATAATTATATAATAATAATAATTATGTTGAAATGTATATGATATTTGAGACACAAAATATAAAGGGTAAAGTCTGTTTATAAATGAAAAGAGGTATTACTTTAAAAGATTATGAACTGTAAAATGTTTTTAAGATTGTGAACTATAGAACAAGGATGATAAAGTTGTATTTAAAGTAAAGTTCAAAGTTGATGCCGCTTCTGTTGTATTCATAAACGGTGAGATAGTAACAAGTGACGGTGAAGTCTGGAATAACACCCCTGTAATTAAAATAATACATATATTGTATAATTTGACGAATGGCTACCATAAGTAAAAAATGTTGTTCTTATTTAACAATGGTTTTTTAAGGAGAAGCGGTTGAAGTTTTAGCCTAATTGGTGATTTAGCACAAAATAATTCAAAGATCCTTGAACATACTTGATTCAAAGAAACACCACTTAGGTCCGAGTACCTGAGTATGCGTCTGTTTGTCTGCTGTCTGTCCAAATTAAGCTTGTTACCACTCACATACACATACCCTAAGCAATATGTCTAGTGTAATCTGCCCTTGAATTACAATATCTGTTACCACTCAAACGCTTTCATTTCTTCTTCAATCTTGACAATTTTCAACAGAATATCTATGACCATAAAATCTCAACAAAGTTAGATTATAGACTATATCTAAAAAAAAAACAAACAAAAAACTAACTAACAAGAAACGCACTATATTTCACCTTGTTAGTGCTTTCGTTTCTTCTCCATTCTTAAAAAAAATCATACCGAATATGTATAACAATAGACATCGATCAAGTTCATTTATGAGCTAAAACGACTGAATACATGTATATCAAGAGTTATTTGCCTTTGAATAATAAAAATAAAGACATATTTTAAAGTCAAATTATTGAATTGTGATAAAACTGCCATTTCTTTGTTATCAATGATCAGATGTCTTTCATACATTTATATGACAGGACGGACATCTTGAATAGTTCAACCATGATATTGACCTTGAAATGACCTTGACCTCAAGGTCACTATTGAATTTTGCTTAAATTACCATATCTTTGTCATTTGCAGATATTTGGATATTGATGACCATTTCAGACGTAGTATTGAGTACTGATATCAGTTACCCAGATTCTGACCAAGTACATGCAATGTACTTGCTTTTTATTTGTAATATTCAATGCTATCTACCCTTGTCATGCGGAGCCTGGCGATATAAGGCCACCATGACCTTTTTGCTTTGTTCAATTATAAAATTACATTGTTCATTTATAAAATTACATTATGGCATTCAAACAAAACGCTTACATTACGATATTAAAAAATAAGCTTTAGTTTTTATCAATAGAACACATTGAACTTCTTTTTCATCATTTCCTATGCGGAAGAATGTTTGTTATAATATACTCTATTACACATCATCTATGTCACTTATAGACGAAATGTTTGTTCTTCAGGCGATAAAATAATACGGTTTTAGTAAAAAGACGGACTTTCCAACTAATCTATAAATTGAATCATTTTTCAAAGTTATGTTTTATGACAATTTCAAACTTGCATTTACTAGATTTGCAGTTCAAAATATTTGAGTTGCGTCAAGCAAAAATGCGCACTATTATTACATTTACTTCAATATCATCGTTTTTATATTTTTTAAATAAAAAAGAATTATATAGGATCACAAAAATATTGCACTTTTATGTTAATTTCGTCATATCTTTACCTGAAACAATATGAAAGTGACAGAACCAATAAAAGTAACGTTTATAATGAATATATTTTAATACAGAAAATATGGACGATATGCGACGCAAAGACACACTCTCGCCACAAAACATACTAAGTACGATATGCACCGCAAAACATCCACATGTGCAAAACGTCCACACGCGTATGTTTTGCGGTACGGACGTTTTACGGTGTTACATGGCCCCTATTGTCTTCCGTAGTTATTTTGTCACCAAATGTTTTCTATTACGAGGACACACATTTTTTGAGCAATTTCTCAACGGTTCAGTTAAAGGTTGTCCATTTCATCGTGTCATGTACAATTGTCTCCAATATTCTTTTCTTTGGATCAAGACAAATAATAGTTCACAAAGCTCGGTTTAAAATAAAATACTCATTTGAACCATCGAAAAGGTGCTGTCACCATCGGCAATGTGAGCCGTCGGCGAATACCATTCTGTTATACTACGTGATGATTTGGTGGAAATATACCGATGATATTTGTGTATAGGCTTAATTGCATGAATTGATTCATGTAAGTTTTACGTATGTGAACTAGTTTTTTCATTATCCATAATTCACAATCTTATTAAATGGAAAGAGTAGTTTTTAGCACGACGAAGAAAACAAATTCGTATTAACAATGTGGAAGATTTTGTCAAAGTAATGAGTATGAATAAAAAAACACGGGGACAATTTTCTCTGTTCTGCTGAACGGCACTTTTCTTTGTCCAGCTAACAATAAAACATCTAAAACATCATTGAATACCGATACCATTTTTTTTAAATATCACACAGGAACAAACAATGCACATTCTCTAGTGCAAATGCAAGACAGATGACTGGAAAGGGCGGTTGATTATTAATTTGAAAGTCCTCTATTTCAGGAGAGAAAAAAAGACAAATTTTAATTTAATTCAAAAATATTTATAATCAGTTATTTATATCAAAGTTCGTGCGTTGAAAATATGCATTGATGATGTAGCTGTCATCGTAATTCTTTATGTTAAAAAATAACTGATTGTCACATAGTAACTTTTCACTCTCTTTACTTCAGTTGGACACTTCCGGTTGTATCGTCTGCTGATACTCTGGCATACCTATAAGAACAATGAAATAACTTATAAACTCAATTTAACAAACACAAGATGAAAATAAATTCTGTACTTGTAGGAAAAACTTAAATTTTCTGTTTATTATTTACAGTTTTCTATTTTTTGACATTACAATTTGAAAGTTTTCACATAAATTGTGAATATTAGTAGTCCGGCAAGACACCAGTGAAAATACGAAAAATATGTTTCAATGCAGCGAAAAATAATTTTTTACAGTAAAAATATGTAAAAACGCATTTTACATCATTAAGATTTATCAATATTCATTTTTATCACAGTATATAATAAAATGGCTCGTTATTGTCATTCAAGTAAACATGTATCTTAAAGTCCCATTTAGCGACAAAAATAATCGAATTTTTTTATTTCTCAAAATCTTTGAAGTTTCGATTTTGCTGCATATTACAAGGTCTTCAACGTTACTCATTGGCCATATAACTGAATCATGTTTTACTTCTATTGAATTTTAGCGTTTATTTTATTAGGTGATTTAGTTTTTTATTTCTGAGTTTAATGTGCCTTTAACTTACCCGGAATGAATCTCACTGTTACAACAGATGGACATTATCCCAAACGAACCTACATCATCCCATTCGTCAATAATCTTCTCGTTTCCTGTTTGTTGACTGTCGTCTGCAAATACATTTTGATCGTCTGCTGTTGTTGTTGTGATTTTAGTCACGCGCTCGTCTTCGCGGCTAAGATTGAAAATCTGCGGCACTTCAGGTACTTGGTGTTCCAACACGCCATGCGGTTGTTTATTTGTTGACTTCTCAAATATGTTTCCCGTTCGTTGACTGTCGTCTGCAAATACATTTTTATCGTCTGCTGTTGTGACATTAGTCACGAGCTCGTCTTCGAGGCTTAGATTGCATATCTGCGGCACTTTAGATACATTGTGTTTAAACATGCCATTTGTTGACTTCTCAAATATGTTGAAGTCATGTCTCTGTTTAGAATTTGATTTTCCGACAGTGATAAATTTGCGTGATGGTTTCGTCCATATGTCTAAAGTGTAATGTTTGGTTATTGGACACATGCCAGTTGCTAGTGAAATGATACCAATTATATCTTTAAATGCCAACCGTATTTGCCGAGTGTATCCAATCAGATTTTCGTCTTCTGGAAAACCATAAACTTCCTTTGATATCAGTTTTGTATATATTAAGAACTGATATGCGCCGTCGTTGACTATTTTCTTCAGATATCTCAATGGAACAGTTACGTTTATTTTGCAAATTGATGAGTACCTTTTTGTAAACGGGACTGTTTCTGTAAATGGTACAATGGAAGCATTTGTGTGATTGATTGCTTGTGAATTCTTGGTAATTTGAGACTTATTTTGCGGGTATATTTCTTTGAAAAACATTGGCATGTCTCTTGGACAAAGAAATTTTCCACATTGCAATGGACTGAGATTTTCGTATGTCCATATATCGTTAGCAATCGGAGTAAACTGACATTCGTCATTTCCTTGTAATACAATATTATCGTCTAATCCCCGCAGAAACATATTGTCGAATATATCCTGCACCAAAATATTGTCGTCTGCTTCGTGATATAGCAAAGCGATGCCTGTAAAAATGGCTGGACATATTTTGTCGTCAGGGGATGAGGAACTATCATCGAGAGTGGCTGGAAATTGGCTAGCTTGATCAAACAGTGTGCCATCAACGATATGCCCGATATGAAACTCAATAACTTCTTTACCTACAGAAGTTTTTTTGCCGCTTTCCACAACACTATCTATATCTTTCTCAATTACCTCATCGTCGTTTTCATTTGTTGTCAGGGTATTTATACCACCATCTTTCACAGGGGTGTCGAATGATCTGACTTTTCTATTTTTACTAATACTTGCGGGTCTGATACCAAAACTATAAAGTTCTTCACCTCGTGAATCATCATTGACTTCCGAGTACTTGATATCAGTTTTCGGTTTTTCAATATGTCTTAAGAAAGCGTCTACACTATTACAGAAATTATAGTAAGAACGGTTTGGTTTTACTACACTCTTTCTGGCTTCCTTTTCCTCACTAAAACGGACTTTTAGTTTACTTAAAAGACTTTCAACCTTACTTTTCATTTCTTCCTCTTCTACTTTTCCAGATACTTTCCAATCAATTTCCTTTTCCTCCTCTAATTTTCTCATCATTCTTCGCCTTTCAAGCACGCTGACAAATCTTTCACTGGTATCGTTATTGATAGAAACATCTTCCTCTGTAACTTTAGATATGTCAACAATGACATCTGATATATCAGGACCATCTCCGGCACTATCTGTGTGTGGTAAGTGACCTGCATTTTCTAACAATTCCCTGTTGAAACCTTGATCTTTTGTTGTACAAGACAATTCTGAAATTGAGAAAATGGGAAAACTTACAAAAAGCAGACAAACCAATAACACAAAAAAGTTGTACAGTAATACGGATATTTGATACATAAAATAAGTTCTATTTACGTGTTGTTGTTGATCTTTCTATCATACAATACAAATTGCTAAATTATTCTAGTACAGAGATGCCTATTCTGATCAAAGTGAAAGCAATTTAACTTGTGCTGAAAATCACAATATAAAAAAAAGCATCTGATTAATTAATTTCGTCCGTCAACATGAATAAATAAATTAATAAATAAATAAATAATACAGAAAATAAATAAATAAATACAATTAAAAAAATATTTGTAAACTTTCAAAACGATTCTATTCCCGTACATCAGCAGTAATTTCAACCAATTTTATTTCTGGATAATAACAATGTAAAGCAAACTTTTTTCTTACCTTTCAAATACTCTGTAGATACGTTTTCCATGCTTATTTTATAAAGTTGTTGCTGTTCCGTTGCTTCGTGACATTCTTTTAAATGTGTTTGCTTTCCTGCGTTTGTTGATATGCGTTTGTATAATAAACTGAAAACCATAGAGCTAACGTCTTTTTACGCTAATTTATATGACGTCATGACGTTATTTTTGGCAAAACGTCCAGGGGCGACTACTGTGGCAATTACAATGGTTTGAAGTTCTTTCCCTTTACAATAAGAACGTCGTATGAATTATTAAAGGCACATTATGCCTCAGAAATGCATATTTATTATTATCTTTAGAAATATCCAACACGACGTCGTGTTTAGTTATGTTTTAATAATGGAGTTAGAGCGTGTAAGATGCTTTACAACAGAAGAAAGTAACGAATGTTGGATGTGCAGTAATGTTTTGTAAAATGAAAACAAAGTAGTATTTGAAAAAAAAAATGATAGCATAATATTTCTGAGCCATAATGGGCTTTTTATCTTACTTCGTATTTGTAAACTCATCTTGAGTTGAGCCGCTTTAAAGTGAACTTAAAATTTCTATAATATCAGGTTATTTTAGTATTTTGGTGTATTTTTGTGATAATTTGAAATGATTGTATACATGTATATGAAATTATTTACATGAATGTGGATAATTGTTGTAAATTGTTTTTTTTTCTAGAAATATATTTGAATCAAATAAAATTGTTTAAGCAGTATTTACGTTGATTGATTTTTGTAACCTCTTCTTCACCACTCGCAGTGAGATGGAGGGTCAACACAGATATATCTCGTCATGTAAAACTATCGGCTTATTAAAGATGTACTAAGCTCATCTTTAAGTAAAATATTTTTATTGCAGAAATTTATTTATTTCTATGAAATTCTTACTGAATTTGTTTAATTTTGATAAAAGGAATATACAAACTACATGTATGCATGTGAAGCTGCATTCCTTGTTACTGGTTAAGTAAAGTTTGTCCTTGTAATATTGTGCCTATTTAAAAGTATTTATAGTGAAAAAAATATCTACTTGTTTGAAGTCAAAACAGCAATCTACAAATTAGACCCCTCCGTATATTTGAGGAATAAAATTTGTATATAATAAACTAAAGAAAATGGAATGATCTTAATATATATATTCCTGGTTAAGACCACGGGGTCTATTCCAGAATATAGCAGTCAAAACGTTATTATTTATAAAGATACTGTGTTATTGTAATACCAATACTCGTATTTTCAAATATCAAATTTAAGCATAGTGTATCTTTAATGCACAACAACTGTCGTCTGCTGTGGAAGAACTGGTCTAACGTTTATTTACGCTGTGTAGCACCCTTGTATGCCACATAAAGTACTGAAGTATGCCAGTGGTAAGAGATGAATTAATGGCTGTGTGGGTCCAGAATGTGATTTTCGGCCCGATAAATGAATAATGTCCCCCCAGGGATTCACTTTGTTGAAAGCTGTACATGTAATACAATTTTTTATAAATGTAATACTTCTGTTGTTATAATTCCAATGGCATGCAGTCTAGAGACAGTGTAGCAATACCACGTGACCTGGACGTCATTTTCGGACAAATATTGCTCGATTCGAAAAGAAAAATAGCCGTAAGTATTTTATTTCTGCACCGATTTCTTTGGAATATGCACCATTCTTCGAAAAAAAAATATAAGCTTGCCATAGAATAGTATTTTTTCCTTCAGTACTTATATGAGCCGTTTGATCAAACACTTTGTATAACCTTAAAAGTTGCTTGTATACGAGTGGACTTCAGTTCGAAGCTATTTCGTTTTCTTGTGTTTTCTGATCTACGCCATGAATTAAAAGTCGTGAATACATCAACCGGGATTCCGGAAGGCAAAATCCTACTTAAATATGTTTATATTGCAATTATTTATGGCGTAAATCTGAACTTTTTCTTCAATTTACAATTATGGCACCAGTTCCAAGCCAAAAATTTGGACTACAGTTTAAAGCAGTTTTCAGAATTGGTTACAAATGTGAAGAAACATGAATTCCGTTCTCTTTCTATAATAACGACTATTCATATAGAAAGGTGTTTTATTTGGAAAACAAATTATGCCTTGCCATTGTAATAACGCAGGCAGTATCGTTACGTCATGTTCTTTTAACGATGGCGTCAAATGGTAAAACAATGAAAACAATAAATTGGAGATGGACTCTCTCACTAATGTTCTTAAGCATACTGTTGCAAAAAATATATAGTTTGTTTCATCTGCTTGTTTTAATTTTGCGTCATTTTTCCCCTAGGAATGCCCTAACAGAGTTATGTATGCCCGGTATCCCAATCTTTTGGCTTTTAAGGACGTTCTCGGGAGTTTTCATATAGACAAAATTCGAGGAGTGGAATTTTGAAATCACTTATTGCGCAGCGAGTAAGAATCATTTGTGTACATACTTTATTTAATATACATTACGTCGTATAATAAAATATTTTTCTTGGTTAGCATAATTATAGACAGAGAACGAAAGACCTATGTTGCTTCACATTTGCAACCAATTCTGAAATCTGCTTTAAACTGTAGTCTGCATTGTTCGACTTGGAACTGGTGGCATACATATTAAAGTTATACATATCGGCGTATATAAATTATTTCACTAAATAATATCTTTGTAAATCCTAGCTATACAGCGATATCAAACGGAACATTGTTGGTTCTAATCACTAGCTCAGATCTTCCTTCAACAGTATAGCTGGAAATAGTTATAAGACCATGCTGTGTTGGCGCGACGTAGAACCGAATAAGATACGAAATGTAATAATAATAATCCAGTCACATTTTTTGTCCCCGAATAAAACTTCGTTGTTGTTTCTTTTGCGTTTCAGTAAAGCTTTGTGTTTTTATGTCACCAAATATCAACTTGTGTGTTTTCTATTATGGGGAGACACATTTTGAGTGATTTCTCTAATGTCGTTAATTAATGTTGACCCATTTTATCGTGTCATATACCATTGTCCTATAAACCTTTCCTTTCGATCAACACAAATAATAATTCACAAAGCTCGGTTTAAAATGAAATACTCAATTGAACCAAACCATGGAACATAGGCAATGTGGAAAAGCTGTTGCCGTTCACTACCATTCAGAAAGACTTAGTGTTGATTTTGTGGAAATATACCGATTATATTTGTGTATAGTCTTAATTGCATGAATTGATTCATGGTTTAAAGAACTGTTCAATCAACTTCCTTCAAGTCTTACGTATGTGAACTAGTTTTTTTTCTATTACCCATTATTGAGACCCGAGTCACAATCTTATCACATATGGTAACAAAGGTAAGAGTAGTTTTTAGATCCATATTAACAATGTAGAAGATTTTGTCAAAACAATGAGTATGAATCAAAGAAACTTGGGGAACATTTTTCTATGTTCTGTCAAACGCCAATGTTCTTTGTTCAGCTAACAATAATCACCTCAAACATCAATTTTATTTATTAATAACTATCATCCAGAAACAGATAATATGCCCCAAACACACATTCCCTAAAACTAAAAGGAAAGTACAAATGTAAGACAGGTGATGATTATTTATTTGAATGTACTATATTTCAGGAGAAAACAAAGACAAATTTGAATTTGATTTAAAATATTTATAATCAGTAAATTATATTAAAGATCTTTCGTTGAAACTATACTTGGATGATCTTTCTGTCATCGTAGTTCTCATGTTAAAAAAAAACAACAACAAAAAAACTGTTTGTCACATAATAGCTTTGCACTCTTTTTTATTTCAGTTGGATACTTTCTGGCGAATCGTCTGCTGGTAATCTGGCATACCTGTAAGAATAAAGAAAATAACTTATAAACGCAAGATGAAAATAAATCCTGCATTTATAGAACAAAACCTGAATTTTCTGGTTATTATACACCATTTACTATTTTTGACATTACAATTTGAAAGGTTTCCCCTTAAATTGTGTGTATTGGCTAAATTTAGAATAAAGTAGTCCGGCAAGACACCAGTGAAAATACGAAAAATAAGTCTCAATGCAGCAAAAAAATAATTTTTTTACAGTAAAAATATTGAAAATGAAAAAACGCATTTTATATCATCAAAATTTCTCAATATTTCATTTATAACACAGTGTATAATACAATGGCTTATAATTGTCGTTTTAGTAAACATGTATCTCAAAGGCCCATTTAGCAACAAAATTAATAGTATTTTTTTTTATTTCTCAAAACCTTTCTATTTTTGGTGTATATTATAGTGTCATAAAAGAAACTAATTAGCCATGTAGCCGAAGCAATTTTTACTTCTATTGAATTTTAGCGTTTATATAGTGATTTAGTATTTTGTTTAAAGAATGTATTTATTTCTGATTAACTTACCCGGAATGAATCTCACTGTTACAATAGATGGACATTATCCCAAACGAACCTACATCATCCCACTCGTCAATGATCTTCTCGTTTCCCGCTTGTTGACTGTCGTCTGCAAACACATTTTGGTCGTCTGCTGTTGTTGTGATGTTAGTCACGCGCTCGTCCTCGAGGCTTAGATTGAATATCTGCGGCACTTCAGGTACTTGGTGTTCAAACACGCCATGCGGCTGTTTATTTGTTGACTTCTCAAATATGTTTCCCGTTCGTTGACTGTCGTCTGCAAATACATTTTGATTGCCTGCTGTTGTTGTGACATTAGGCACGCCCTCGTCTTCGAGGCTTAGATTGAATATCTGCGGCACTTTAGATACTTTGTGTTTAAGCACGCCATTTGTTGACTTCTCAAATATGTTGAAGTTATGTCTCTGTTTAGAGTTTAATTTTCCGACAGTGATAAATTTGCGTGATGGTTTCGTCCATATGTCTAAAGTGTAATGTTTGGTTATTGGACACATGCCAGTTGCTAGTGAAACGATACCAATTATATCTTTAAATGCCAACATATAGATTATTGGTTGTATTGGCCGAGTGTATCCAATCAAATTTTCGTCTGCTGGAAAACCATAAGCTTTCTTTGATGTCGGTTTAGCATATATCAAGAACTGATATGCGTAGTATTTGACTATTTTCTTCAGACATTTCAATGGAACAGTCATGTTTATTCCGCAAATTGATGAGTACCTTTTTATGTAAACGGGGACTGTTTCTGTAAATGGTACAAATGGAAGCATTTGTGTGATCGATCGCTGGTGAATTCTGGGTAATTGGAAGACATATTTTTGCGGGTATACTTCTTTAAAGAGCATTGACATGTTTCTTGGACATGACTGAATTTAACACATTGAAACGGACTGAGATTTTCGTATGTCCACATATCGTTAGCAATCGGATAAAACTGACATCCCTCATTTCCTTGTAATGCAATATTGTCTTTGATTCCCGCTGTACATATTGTCGAATATATCCTGCTCCAAAATATTGTCGTCTGCTTCGTGGTATGGGTCAAAGTGTCGTCTGTAAATTGGCTGGACACATTTTGTCGTCAGAGAATGAGGAATCATAGTCGAGAGTTGCTGGAAATATGCTCGCTTTGTCCAACAGTGCGTCATTACGCGACATGGTCAATATGCGACTCAATAGCTTCTTTAATTACAGAATTTTCTTTGCCGATTTCAACATCATCTATATCTTTCTCGGTTACCTCACTGTCGATTTCCTTCGTTGTCAGGGTATTGATATCACTATCATTTACAGTGTTCGAATGATTCTGATTTTTCTATTTTTACCAACACTTGCGGGTCTAATACAGAAACTATAAAGTTCCTCACCTTGTGAATCATCGTTGACTTCGAGTACTTGATATCAATTTCGGTTTTTCAAATATGCCTTAAAAAGCGTCAACACTATTACAGAAATTATAGTATGAACGGTTTGGTTTTACTATATCTTTCTAGCTTTCCTTTTTCCTCACTTAAACGGACTTTTTAGTTTACTTAAAAGACTTTCAACCTTACTTTTCATTTCTTCCTCGTCAACTTTTCCAGATACTTTCCAATCAATTTCTTTTTTCCTCCTCTAATTTTCTCAATCATTCTCCGCCTTTTCAAGCACGCTTGACAATCTTTCACTGGTAATCGTTACTGATAGAATCATGCTTCCTCTTGTAACTTTAGATATGTCATCAACAATATCTGATATATCAGAACTATCACCGGCACCATCGGTGTGTGGAAAGTGACCTGCATTGTCTAACAATTCGCTGTTGAAACCTTGGTTAGTTGACAACTCTGAAAATGAGTGAGAGAAAGGGAAAACTTACAAACAAACACAAAAAAACACCATAAACAAACAATTACTTCAATAGGTTTACAGAGATCCGTATTGTTGACCATTGTTAAAACAAGTTTTATTTACGTGTTGTTGTTGATCTTTCTATCATTAAATATAAATTGCTAAATTATTTTAGTATAGGGATGTCCATTCTGACCAACGTTAAATATGTTAACGGTGTCCTTAACTTCACAATATGTAAAAAAAATGATTAATTAATAAATTCCGTCGATCAAATCACTCAGATTTGATAAATGAATAAATAAATGAATAAATAAATAAATAAATAAATAAATAAAATAAAATAAAATAAAATAAAATAAAATAAAATAAAATAAAATAAAATAAAATAAAATAAAATAAAAAAAAATAAAAAATAAAGTAAAATAAAATAAAAAAATAAATAAAATAAATAAAATAAAATAAATAAATTATTTATTAACGATTTAAGAAATATTTCAAAAATGA